GTACTTTAAAGTGTATAAATAAGTTACCCGGGCAATTGATTTACATCAGCCAATCAGAAGAAAGTCGTCCTATGACCGTTTACTAACGCCGATAATTACGTGACATTTAGTACAACAAATCCTTACAGTTACAATAATTTTTATATTTAAATATACTGAATGGCCCACCCTCAGAAAAAAAATCTCACTTTTGAATTTTTTATTACAATAACGAATAACTAAGGCTAAATATAACATAAATAGTAATGTCACAACTAATATGTTACCTTATGTTACTCTTGGTTTTTATTAAGTCTGTTTCAGCCCGTAAGTTACCAAATTTTCTTTCTGCATGTTATTTAAAACGAATTTAATAAAAAAGATCGCTATATTACAATATAACTGTGATTATAATTATAAGCCAAATAGGAATATTCAGCTTATCCAGCTTCTTAATTTTAACTATAAATAAAAAATTCTGTATAGACGAGAAAAAAGCAGGGTAACCAAAATGACATCATAAAGATAGTCAAGTAATTCTAATTAATATATCACAATTTTAACATTGTATATACCTATATTTTCAGAGGTTCAAATACTTAACACACCTGGCAATAGTATTGCAGTGGGTGCTACTATTATAATCACTTGGACATATACCCCACAAGTGAATCCGATTCCAGGCATTTTAAGTATTATCGACAACACAACTAAAAACACAGTCATAATTAGCTCTACTATAAACCTCTCTTCCCAATCCTACCAGTGGAAGGTCAATGTTCCCGCGGGCACTTATTTCCTTGGTCTCAACGACGGGTCTGGTGATAAGTATTCTGGAACTTTCACAGTCTTTCAGTCCGGATTACCTAACCCCGCAACTACTCAAGCTCTATTTAGTCAAAGTGCTCAACTAACTATTCACTCACCAGCTAAAACAGATGAAGTTGTCCCCTCTACCCCTAATCCAACTACTAAAGCTAATGTTAATCAAACTACTACAAATTCATCTAATATTGGAATATATATTGGTATCGCTATAAGTGGTATTATAATTGGTGTAGTCTTATCTTTTGTTGGATCTTATGTATATAAAAAATACCAAGATTCAAGATTTATTCCAACATCTGGCAACGTTGATCATATGGATTCAATGCCTGGCAATGTTGGTTTATCATGGGTTTAAGATGCAATTTAATAAGTAAAAAAAGTAAATTTTAAAATTTTTAATTTTTTCAAAGTTATTTTGTACACTAAGTTCAGATGTAAAAGCAAATCAAATCTAGGCGCCGTTAAATCCGGACACAATAGTAATCGAATATAAATATAATTTTTCACTAAATAAATTATGGGAAATTTACATATAAGGGCCCAAAAATGAAAATAATTACAAATACGGGCCCAAAATGAAAATAATTACAGATAGGGGCC